TGGCAGACGCATAGCCTCGAAGAGTTCATCCACCACGAAACGACCCTTCTTTTTGGCTTTGGCATCGCGTACAATCTCCTCCTTGATGCGTTCTGCACACATCTTGTCCTCCTCCTCATCCATTTCCTTCTGTACAATACCTCGCAGCCACTTTGCATAGACAGGGTCATTTAGGAGGATGACACTATTTCCTAACCGGCATTTCAGCCGTCGATCTTGCGCCAGGGCTGCTGACTGATCGATCAGGTGGCAAGCCATAGGATCAATTCGAAATGGTGTAGATGCGGAGCCCCGATAATACGCCTCCAGTTCTGGTAGTTCGCTGAATGTTTCTGTTGTTGACGGGGGCTCCATCATTACGGAGTGCTTTGCTCCACGTTTGGCTGCCGTCCCCGCAGTTGGATGTGTTAGCTCCGCAGTTGGTGAAGGCGAATGCTGACCGTCCCAGGCCAGCTTGCGGTAGTTGTCACATGGCAAGGGGTTAGTGGCAATCCTCTCGTCGAAGTTCCTAACCTGCTCAGGAGTGTAAAGGTCTAAGTCTGCAACAATGTTGATTGTCCCCCTTGATTTCAGTCTTTCTGTGAGTCCATCAGTGGAGGGGAAGAGGGCACTGAAGTTGCGCGTCTCATCCAAGGGGACGTAGTCCGTGTGACCAAAGGGCGTGTCATGTTGGATTTTATTTAGATTTTGACTCATACTGTGGCGGCTTTATACGGCGTGAGTAGAAGACGCCACCCCCCGTCACATGCGTATGTGTCACTGGTGCTGTGACATTCGAACCGATCGATATGTTCCACGTGCCCAGTCATACCCGTGATTTAAACATAATCCACAGTGTAGCAGGGTAACGGCCGGATCTCTGACCCATGCTTTCATCAGGACTGATTGCACTGAGCGATTTTCCCTTTTTTTCACAAAAACGTTTTTCCGGATCTTGTGACAACTTCCTACTGTTTCGGAACTCCTGATAAGTTCTTGTCCACCTATCTATCTATCCGCTCTCATATCCTCCCTTCTCTAGGTTTTCATGTTAGTGTAGCGTCTATTCCATTTGCCTGCTTACCTTGTGTTATGCCTTGTTTTGTCATTAAAACCCTACTTCCTACCTGTGTAGACCGGAACCCTCAATCCTTACCTTGCTCGGGCGCTACAACAGCCCGATAGTACTCTTCCTTCTCCTTTTTGTTTACTCAAAAAACTCGGCAAAACTGACTTGCAGAATCCTCTAGATATATATTCACCCCCGCCCAACTGCCGTACATATTTCGTGGTCAAAAATTTGATTCTTAGATAGTGAGCGTAATTTTGGCGGAAGTGACCAAAAAATATGAAATTGAATACGATTATATTTGAAGTGGATCCGACAAAGCAAAGGGAGACCGGAATGACCATTTCTGGCTTA